ATAGATAAATAGATAAAAAGATAGTAAGATAGATAAAAATATAGATATAGATATATAAGTATATGTATATGTGCATTTGTATTCATGTATGTATGGTAGAAAAATCCACAATGCACAATCTAGTTTTATTGAAAAGTGAGGTAACAGTTTCAATATGTATGCTGATTTATCTTCATCTGCTTGTGTATTTAAATACAATGATTATGAAAATTGCTGAACATTATGCTTTTGTTTTTCCTACTTGCCTCATCTTCTTATTTTCAGTGTGTTAATTAAATTGATAACAAATATTAGCTGAAACCTAATCTATGCTGAAATTTTCCCTAAACAGAAAAAAATGCCACGTGACCACAGTTCTATAGAAGGTGGTGGGGGAGGGGTAGATACAGACCATAATACAACTATAGGTACTATAAACTCAGGGGGAACAGGTGAGTTGTATTATTGCAAAGTCTATTAGTTTTTTTTAAATTAAAGATTGTATTTCACAAATAAAGCTAGGAAAAAAAAAATGGATCATATTGATAAACAGCATCTCAAAAAGCTGTTGAAAGTTATGAAATGAAAATGCCCTCTTCCAACAGATAATCCAGGATTAGTTGGTTCAGATAATGAGAGTTACGGTGGAAAGTTGATTGGCGGACCACCAAACAGAGCGTCAGATTCCTCAATTCAGAGCGGGTCGGCTACTCCAGATATTCATCCTTTCTTTAAGGTTTGTAGGTTTACTTCATACCCCATGTTTATAGGATAGATAGATTTTAGCAATTTTTTTTATATATATGTACATATTAACATCACTAATACTGTACAAATAACAGTATGTTTTGTAGATTTGGTTTCCTTCTGGCATCCCACTCATGGAAGTTTAACTTTGTATCGTGTATATTTTTTAAAATTAAAATTCATTGTAGGCTCTAACATCACTTCTATGGGAAGTATGATTCTGTGTATGTCAAAGAAAGCGTGTTGGAAAATTAAAGTTGAATGGATTGTAATACAAGTGTTTATTTCATAATGACCATATACAGTCTTTTCCACTTCCAGATTCACACCACTAATCATTCCAATGTGTATATCATCAGTTTCGTCCTTTGTGTCAGAAATACATCCGAATCCAAATGAGATCATTTTTTTATATAAATACAAAAGCTGAAACAGGCTGAGTGGAATAGAAGTAGAGAGAGGACTGTACATGGCATATCTTTTCCCTCCACAGATTGTGATAATACAGTGTTATTTATGGAATATTTGATGTTAGTGAATCATACTATGTATTTTGAGTATACAGAGCAAAGGATAAACGACAGTATGTTTGTTAAACGTGGACTTGTAACCTACATTAGAGCTTTTAAATGTCCAAATGATTCTTTAGGGTCTTTAAGGATATCTTATGGTAATTACCTTACTATAGTTTTTTATTTAAATTTTGACTGTGTGTGTGTGCTTGCATGATATATGTGTTTGATTAAGCTCATGTTTGTAATAAGCATATAGGTCAGTGGTTCTGAACCTGTGCATTGCGACAAAAGTGTCAGAAAATATTTTGCAGATGTACATATCTTGCCTTTGAAGTTATTGCCTTTTTAGTGTAAAACATTGTGAAAATGTGGAAAATTTATCTAATCAAACCTAACAGTGAAATTTCCCATTAATTAAACCATATTAAAATTGCTTATGGTGTGATTTACAATAGTTTATAACTTTTCTAAGGAATATGATAGCTGTTCATATGCATAATACAGTAATTTTTTATAGGATTGATGAGTTGCAAGATCTGTTTTTAGTGTGTTGACTGACTGCATAGGTTGAGAACCACTGTTCTAGATAAATAGGTTAAGAGGCACCTGCCTGCAAAACAACATAAACTAACCAAAATATGTATCATTCGGTAGATTTATTTACTTTTGTTTGTATGTCAGATTTTTTTTCAATGTTTATTTATTTCTAAGTACAAATTTAATGATAACCCAATATTTGTTTTTATTCTACTGATAGTGGTCCAAATAAGAGAGGGCATAATAAATTTGTTAAATGAAAAGTGACCGGAAAGTTGCACTGAATTTTCCTCATCATTGCAATTTTTATATAATGAAATTAATTTTTTTGTTTAGGCGTGATAATATCAAGTTTTATGCTCTCTCTTCCTTAGAGTGCTACTTTGATGCGGGATATTCACCCATTCCTTAAGGTATGAAATCAAATGTACAAATGGTTTGAGAGAAAAAAAGAAAAAAAGGTAACAAACATTTTAACAAGTAGAGAATAACTGGATGGTTTAGATGGTTTTTCTTAAATGTATTTCTTTTTCTATTCAACTAAGAAAGGGTTTCTAGGATTAATAGATGCATATGCAAAATGTATAGCTGTATTGTAATTCTTTAATATAAATGGGGGAAATAGTATGCATGAGTGGAGTGTCCCATATGTAAGAAATGTGCTGTATTTATGGAAGACTTAAAGACTTTTGCAGCAGGTAATATGCAGTACATACCTATAT